ATGGAATGGGAGGAGGGGGGAGGAGTGTATGGAATGATATGGGGAGGGTATGGAATGGGGGGCATGGGAGGGTATGGAATAGGGGAGGGTATGGAATGATATGGGGGGAGGGAATGGAATGCGGGGGCTGAGAAGGGAATATGTGGGGGGGCGGAGAAGGGAATATGGGGAGGGGCTGAGAAGGGAATATGGGGAGGGGATGGGTGTTATGAGGGATAGAAGAGTGGGGTGATGGGCAATATGGGGGGCCGATGGGCAATGTGGGGGAATAGAAGAGGGAGTGATGGTCATTATGGGGGGGTGATGGGCGTTATGAGGGATAGAAGAGGGAGTGATGGCCATTATGGGGGATGGGAGGTTTGGAAAAGGGGGATTGATGAGTATTTGGGATTTATGGGGGTGGAGGAATAAAAAGGGGGGTGATTAATATTATGGGGGATGGGATTTATAAAAAGGGAATGATTAATATTCTGGGGGATGGAAGGTATAAAAAGGAGGGTGATTGTTATTAGGAGGTAATGGGATGTATAGAAAGGGGGTAATGAGGGTGGGAGGTATAGAAAGGGGGTGATTTTGGGATTGGGAGTTATGGGTGATGGGAGATATAAAAAAAAAAAGGGAGTGACTGGTATTAGAAGTGGGGGTTATGGGGAAGAACAAAAACGTTGGGATGGGGTGTTCTTGAGGGGTATATGTTTGTTGGTTAGAAATGAGAGCTATAGAAACATAGAATGTGAGGGCAGATAAGAACCATTCGGCACATCTAGTCTGCCCATGTAAAGTTATACAAGGTGACTATCTGTTAACCTTATGAATGCTGGTGGAATGTCCAATACGTTGGCCACACTGGACTCTCAAAGGATTAATTATGGCAGCTTGCTTCCTAACCAAGCCTTCTTTATGCCTTTTTAATCAATCCAGTGAGAAATTGCTGTTCTTTCATGAATGCATATGGCACGCAACATCAAATCCACTAGCTTAGTTGCAGGGTGACAGCAGTTGGTCTTCCTTGGAGTGTATGCACTAAACTCCTAACTGTGGTGAAATCAAAGTTGTAGTGAAATAGGACACTGTAGGCACCCAGACCACTTCAGCTAATTGAAGTAGTCTTGGTGCTGTGACCTTTTTGCACATCTATCCAGGGATAGATTTTCCCCATAGGAAAGCATGCGCATTAGGTCTCCCCCTCCGGCTGACGTTGGAGGGGGAAGAGCGTGGGTGGGGCCTGGACATTGGCTCTGGGTTCAGGTAAGTGGCTGAAGGGGTTTTAACCCCTTCAGCTCCACGAGAAGAAGGTCGTGAGGTTGGGGAGGAGGGCTATTAACCCTATAGTGTCAGGAAAACGGCTTTGTTTTCCTGGCAATATAGGATCCCTTTAAGGGCAAAATCTACAACACCTTTGCTTATTGCTTGACTATTTTAGCCTTAAAGGGGAACTCAAAGCAGCATAAAGACTGCAGTGAGCATTCAACAAGATGCTTGGAGAAAAATGATTGCTAATGAAAAAGTCTAACCTCTGCATTAGCAATATGCTGAGAAAAAGCAGTTTGGCACAAAAACCAGGGGGCATTGTCGTGGTGATTTTGGCAGAATAGCAACTACAATGGACTTTGGTTATTGTGTTTAGAGTGCTTCCATAATTTTGATTGTTTTTCTACAATTCGAAGTTTAGTGACTAGAGCACTAGACCTGCATACTTGCTGAACATGGTAGCAAGGCATTGTGTTAGCTTTGCTCATGGAGAACCACAAAGCACTGTTTAAAGTCTGGTCTTCAGCAAACATTGCTTCATAGGCTTCCCTGGCAATATGCAGAATTCATATGCTTCTGGTTTGACAATAAGGTGGTTCCTTTGCGATTTCATGAGAATGTTGCGATGATTGAAAATCTTGCACAACTTGCAGAAACATGGAGATCTGACAAACCATGATTAAACAACTATAACCGGTTACCAGCAATATACACTATTCGTATGGGTGAAATAATTCATCACTGTGGTTCATTTAGGAAACTATCCATAATTAAAGGGTACTCCAACCAAAATCCAGTTCTCCCTTGCTGTGGTGGTCTGGTGTTTAATACTGAAGTGGTCATGGTGCTTGGAATAACACTTCAAATTGGGTCTGTCACGTTTGAGAGTCTATTGTGGACATCTCCCATAATGCTCTTACAGACATAATGCTGCCGACACATCACAGGAGATGTAGTCCAAAATATTTGGAATACTGAAGGTTACCAACCCCTAAAATAGATAGATTATACACAGAATGTTTTCCACTAACAGTGAATTGGGACTAAGTGAAAACAGAGCAGCCAACTTGTGTTTAAAATGACTGACCTGGATTCATTCTTTACCCCTGTCTGTTTCTGGCAATGACAAGTTTGGTTTGAAACCTGTATTAAATTCACCATTTACGATTTAGTGAATATTACTCTGCTGTATAAATGGCTTGTATTGTACTTTCACATTCCTATGGTGGTTGGAGAATACAAGATTTGTTTTGTCCTCTTTCAAATGTGTATGGTACACATAGCTGTTATTATTTATGCGTTACCAGCTGTTACAAGTCATTGGAAACCTGTTCAAGTAAACAGGAAAACATGACGCTTGGCTGGCCAGGGCTGTCATGATTTAAAGGGGTAAATCACGCACATGGGCATTTTTCTCACAGCTGGAATGGAATAAATAAAACCTTATATGAATACATTGTATATGCTTTGGAAGCTTTTATCTGAACTGCAACTCACAGGAATTTTGGCATGTTCCTTGTGACACAAAGATCTGGTTAGGGAACAGGGCTGTAAAGGAGGGAAAATGGGAGATGTACATGTACAGTAACCAACAGTGTGTTCGAATGGAGGAGGTGAAATATGCTTTAAAACATGGATTTAGTTGTGTATAAACTACTCAAAATTGAGCCTGTAAAAAAAACAAAATTGGTCCAAAAGCTATACAATGGACAAACATTGTTTTTTGGTTCCCAGAGTGTCCCTTTTAAAGCTTATGATAGATAAAATAACATATCTGGCATGACATGCATGCTTAATATTTTGGCTTAAACATTCAGCTTAGTTTTCATTTCCTGATCTCACACTTCCAAAAAAAAATGAGGCCTTAAAAGAGCACTAAAAATAAATAATACAAAATATTCACTATTTGTTACATATATCCTCAATAAAAACATGCATGATGGCATTGTGGGTATAAGGGATCAATCGATTTTTGACGATATTCAGATTTTTTGTAAATATCGTTTTCGGCCGGTAATACTGATAATGAGGTGGGCCAGCGCGTCCATAAGGCAGCACAAGCAGCCGCCTTAGGGCGCACCAGCCCGGAGGTGCTAGAATAGAGTGACCGGCAGGAGGTGGGCGAACAGCGCTCCCTCCTGCAAGGCACTCTGTGTAGCGTGGCCGAGCAGAGCAGTGCGCACCGCGGTACAGAAACTTATGTTTCCTGTACCCGCCGGACTAAATGGAAGTGCTGACAGAGAGAGCACTTCCTGTCCATCCGCCGGGTAGGGGAACATAAATTCCTGTACCACAGGAGACACCTAATCGGGAGGAAACACTTAGAACGGGGAGAAGGAAAGAACACTATGGGACAGGGGAGGGGGAGAAGGAAAGAACACTATGGGACAGGAGGGCGGGAGAAGGAAAGAACACTATGGGACAGGGAGGGCGGGAAAGAAAAGAACACTATGGGACAGGAGGGGCGGGAGAAGAAAGAAACACTATGGACAGGAGGGCGGGAGAAGGAAGAACACCATGGACAGGAGGGCGGGAGAAGGAAAGAACACTATGGGACAGGGAGGGGCGGGAGAAGGAAAGAACACTATGGGGAGGGAGGGCAGGAGAAGGAAAGAACACTATGGGGAGGAGGGGCAGGGAGAAGGAAAGAACACTATGGGACAGGAGGGGCGGGAGAAGGAAAGAACACTAAGGGACAGGAGGGGCGGGAGAAAGAAAGAACACTATGGGACAGGGGAGGGGCGGGGAGAAAGAAAGAACAGTATGGGACAGGGGAGGGGCGGGGAGAAGGAAAGAACAGTATGGGG